TCCACATAAAATGTCAGTTGCCACAATTCTGACCATTTTTCTAGTTTACCTAAATCATTTGTCATTTGGCTTATCCCTCCTGGAACATCAACCCTGTTACATATCTTGGTATCATCAGCAAAAAGACATACCTTACCATCAAGACCTTCTGCAATATCACTAATAAAAATATTAAAGAGAATGGGTCCAAGTGCAGATCCCTGAGGTACCCCACTGATGACAAGTCCAAGCTTCGAATATATTCCATTAACTACAACCCTCTGTTGCCTGTCACTCAGCCACTGCCTTACCCATTCAACAATATTTGAATCCAAACTTAAAGATTGCAGTTTATTGATAAGCCTTCTATGTGCAACAGTGTCAAAAGCCTTACTGAAATCTAGGTAAGCAATGTCTGCTGTACCACCCTGATCTATAATTTTAGTTACCCAATCAAAAAAAATCAATAAGATTAGTTTGGCATGATCTCCCTGAAGTAAACCCATGTTGTCTCTGATCTTGAAATCCATGCGTTTTTAGATGTTCATCAATCCTATCCTTTAACATGGTTTCCATCACTTTCCCCACTACTGAAGTAAGGCTTACTGGCCTGTAGTTGCCCAACTCCTCCCTATTAGCTTTCTTGTAAATGGGCACAACATTCGCTAACTTCCAATCTTCTGGGACTACTCCTGTTAACAATGATTGGTTAAATAAATCTGTTAATGGTTTTGCTAGTACACCACGAAGCTCTTTTAATAGCTTTGGGTGTATTCCATCAGGTCCTATTGACTTATTTGTCTTTACTTTTGACAGTTGAAATAGAACCTCTTCCTCTGTAAACTCACGTGTAATAAATGACTCATTTATCCTTTTTCTCAACTGAGGTCCCTTTCCTTCATGATAACATTGTTACAGTATAAAGATGAATAATATGGTGACGATGGTAGAGTAAATGAGGTGGAGTATCTTGCAAATTTCAGTCAGTACCTGGAAGTGGCAGGGGGGAGGTAAAATCTGACTATTGGAATGAGCTGATTTTGTGGGACTTTTTTAGCCACACATGTTTTTTTTATTTCTATTTTTATTATTATTATTATTATTATCGTCATTTATATAGCACCAACAGATTCTGTAGCGCTTTGCAATATTATGAGAGGGGGATTTAACTATAAATAGGACAATTACAAGAAAACTTACAGGAACGATAGGTTGAAAAGAATCCTGCTCAAACAAGCTTACAGTCTATAGGAGGTGGGGTATAAGACACGTTAGGACAGGAGATAGCAATTAAATAAGGTGAGAGTGAAGCAGAGCTGGAGGTAAGAGTAAAGTGCTGCCCTTTAAGAGAGAGCAAGAGACAGGTATGTAAGGTAGAGTTTACTCTGGGAGGCCCTAAGCTTTCCTAAGGAGATGGGTTTCAAGGTTTTAAACGATTAAAGACTAGGAGAGAGTCTGATGGCAGTAGGCAGGCTATTGCATAGGAAGGGAGACACCCATGTCAAGTCCTGCAAGCGTGAGTTTGCCGTATAGGTGCGAGCAGCGGACATGAGAAGGTCACGGGTAGAGTGGATAGACTGAGAAGGGGCATACCTATGGATCTGTGAAGAGATATTATAGGGGCTAGAATTGTTCAGTGCGTTATATGTATGGGTTAGCACTTGAACTGACTCCTATAGGATACAGGAAGCCAATGTAAGGACTGACAGAGGGGTGAGGTGTGAGAGGACCGACTAGAAAGGAAAATCAGTCTGGCGGCAGCATTCATTACAGACTGTAGCGGGGCAATACGGCTTTTTGAAAGACCAATTAGGAGAAGATTACAATAATCCATTCAGGAAATTACTAGAGCATGGACAAGCTCCTTGGAAGCATCTCGCGTATGAAAGGGGCGGATGTGGGCTACGTTTTAAAAATGTAATTTACAGGATTTGGCGACATACTGGATGTGATGCTCAAAGGCGAGGCCAGAATCAAGCATGACGCCAAACAGCGCTCTTGCAAGGATGGACTTATGTGGATACCACTAACTTGAAGGCAAAAGAGGAGGATCAGTAGTAGGAGGAGGAAAGACAAGGATCTCAGTTTTAGAGAAATTGAGTTTCAGAAAGCGGGAGGACATCCAGTCAGAGATGGAAGAAAGGCAAGCAGTGACACGTTGCAGGACGGCAGGAGAGAGGTCAGGGGAGGAGAGATTTAACTGGGTGTCACCAGCGTACAGGTGGTAGTGGAATCCAAAAGAGGTAATACGTTTGCCAAGAGAGGCAGTATAAAGAAAAAATAAAAGGGGACCATGGACAGAGCCTTGGGGGACTCCAACCGAGACATAACGAGGGGAGGAGGTATTATTAGAAAAGGAGACACTGAATGAGCATTGGGAGAGATAAGAGGAAGACCACGAGAGGACAGAGTCACAGAGACCAACTGATTAAAGAGTTTGAAGAAGGAGAGCATGATCAACGGTGTCAAAGGTAGCAGAGAGGTCAAGAAGAATTAGTATGGAGTAGTGGCCTTTGGATTTAGCTGCGATTAGGTCATTAGTAAGTTTGATAAGAGCAGGCTGAGTAGAGTGGCGAGGGCGGAAGCCAGATTGAAGAGGGTCAAAGAGAGAGTTGGAATTGAGGAAGTGAGACATATGGGTAAAGAAAAGTCTTTCCAGAAGCTTTGAAGAATAAGGGAGCAGGGATATGGGATGATAGTTAGAGGGGGAGGACGGGTCATTAGATGTTTTTTTCAGGATAGGTACTACAGTGGCATGTTTAAGGTCAGCAGAGACAACGCCAGAAGAGAGAGAGCAGTTGAAGATGTGTGTTAAGGAAGGCACAAGACAGGGGGAGAGAGATCTGGTAAGGTGAGATGAGACAGGATCGAGTGGCAAGTGGTGGGGCAAGAGGAAAGGAGAAGCGTAGCCACCTCTTGTTCAGTAGCCTGGGAGAAAGTCTGAAGGGCAGGAAAGGCATGATCTACGTGTAGTTGAGAAAGAGAACGGCAAGCTAGGGAGAATTTTTTCCTTAGCTGTTCAATCTTGTCGGTAAAGTAGCATGCAAAACTATCGGCTGTAAGGTTAGTTTGGGCGATGGCTACAGCAGGGCGAAGAAGAAAGTTAAAGGTGTCAAAGAGACGCCTGGGATTGTTGGACTATGAACTAATGAGAGAGGAAACGTATGACTGTTTGGCAGGGGCAAGGGCAGCGCTGTATGAACACAATATGAATCTATAATGGAGATAGTCTGCCTGGATGCGAGACTTCCTCCAGGAGCGTTTAGCACAATGGGAGCATCTTTGCAGTTAGCATGTTGATTTAGTATGCCACGGTTGGGGGCGTGTCCTCCTCAAGGTGCATGTTTGGAGCGGGGCTGCAGCGTTCAAGGCAGAGGTGAGGGTAGTGTTATATGTGGAGATGACCAGTGAGGGACAGGAGAGGGAAGGGATGGATGGCAGTTGTAAATCAATATCAGCTGACAGCTGCTGGAGGTCAATAGAATTAAGGTTCCTCCTGAGTTGAGGGGGGCTAGGCTTTGTTGGGTGAGGAGGTACTTGAAAGCAAATTATAAGAGGTGGTGATCAGAGAGAGGAAATTAAGTGTTGCAAATATTAAATACTGTACATGCATAAGAGAAAATGAATGAAAATGAATTAGCCCACTGTTATAAACTAAATGAGCAAGTAATTGAAAGAATATTAGAGGCTGCTGAGGTCAAAGGTGGGTTAATGGGAATATTGAAGTCCCCAAGAATTAGAGATGGAATATTAAAAGAGAGGAAGTAGGGTAGCCAGGCAGCAAAGTGGTCAAGGGAGAGGAGAGTGGAACCAGGAGGGCGATAAATGTTAGCAGAGTAGGGTTTTAAGAAAAGCGAATTGAATGAATTTCAAATGATGGAAAAGAGAGGGAAAAGGGGGTGGGTAAAGGTTTGAAGGAGTAGTGAGGTAAGAGGAGAAACCCTACACCACCACCTTTGCATTCAGAGTGTCTTGGGTTGTGGGTAAGATGAAGACCACCGAAGGATAAAGATGCAGGGGTAGCAGTGTCAGAGGGGGAGAGCCATGTTTCTGTTAAGGCTAGTAAATCTAGGGAAAGAGAGATGAAGAGGTCGTGGACAGCAGTAGATTTTGTGATATTGCAAACAGAGTGTGCATTCTAGACGGCAGTATTGAAGGAGAATTTAGAGGAAGAGTAACATAAGATTGGTGTGGTTCCTTGAGTTAGTACATGGTGGATGTGCTGAGATGGCACTGGGGATTGGAGAGACATCACCAGCTACTAGGAGCAGAAGGATAGAAAGGAAGTGAAGGTGGGAGTAGGATTTGAAAGTTTTGTAGGAGGGTATGTATGTAGAGGATTTGGGAGGAGTTGGTGGAGATAGGCTGGAAAGGTATGTGTAGAGTGCATGGGATGAATAGAGAGGGGAGGGGAGTAAGGTGGAAGTAATGAGGATGGTGTTGCCAGGGACAGGTGAGCAGAAGGATAGAGATATTTTCGTAATAAGAGACGTTAGTGTGAAAGTGAAAAATAGAAAGAACATTATTTAGAGGAAATGTGTTTTGTTATATAGATATGAAAATTATATATATATATACCTATGAGTGTTTAAACCATGGTTAAGGATGCAGTTTGTTAATAGAGGGATTCAGATGAGGAGAGGTTTAGTGACTTGATTGGTGTGTTTTGAAAACCTGTTGATCTGCACTATCTATAAGTATAGTAATGACTATGGGGTGGGATGGTGGGTAGCTTTCCAGAGATGATACCTCTGCTTAGGCGATTCTGCAGGGCTTGGTTGCTTGTGGGTACGGGGTGTTGATATTAGGGGCCCAGTCTCTGCTTAGGCTTTCATGCGGGGCTTGGTTGTTTGTGAGTACTGGATGTTGATAATCAATGCTTTTATTAGGGGCCCAGTCTCTGCTTAGACTTTCATGCGGGGCTTGGTTGTTTGTGAGTACTGGATGTTGATAATCAATGCTTTTATTAGGGGCCCAGTCTCTGCTTAGACTTTCATGTAGGGATTGATTGCTTGTGAGTACTGGGTGTTGGTAATCAATGCTGTTAATAAGGGCCCAATCTCTTCTTAGGCTTTTCTGCAGGGCTTGGTTGTTTGTGAGTACTGGGTGTTGATAATCAATGCTGTTATTAGGGGCCCAGTAAATGAGTTCTATGTAGTAGAAGACTTACAGTATGTTCACCAAGAACGTTTAAAGACGCCTTTAAAAATGCAACGACCCACACATACCTGACGGTTTATTCCCTTTGGGATTCCACTTTGGTTACTATTTGACACTTAGCATTGTACTTTTTATGGTTAGCATACTGTCTTACTATGTCTATAATATAAACTTACTGACCACATGTAAAAATAGAGAAAATCAATCTAAAATTAAATTATTGTGAATATAGTGAATACAAATGTCCATGATAAAATCATAAAATAGCATATTAACAAAATATATTACCATCATATCTAATGAGATCAGACAATGTATTAAAATTTTTATTTTTGTATTTTTATTTTTGCAGTGTGATAGTGGAGCTAAGTGTCCTCTAGTCACTAAACTTAGAATTTTAGAGAATTAAGTCAACTGCAAATTTTAGGTCAATGTGATTTGATTCCCGATTTGCTATTTTAGCCTTACATTTGCGTAAGTCTATTATCCGTTTCAGGGAATACACTTCATTACTCCCAGTCTATTAAATAATATATTTAATTATGATCACCTTACGACTGTCATTCTGGGTGGAATATAACTCAATGCACTAACTTGTCGGAAAACACTACAGATATTCAAAGCAGGAATGCATGATATTTCCCAGCTCTGCACAATGTTTTGGATTCTTTCCACGAATGCTAATAATTCGACAGCAGACGTTCACACAAGTAACAAAGAGGCTGTTGTCTCTCCTATCAGTGAAATCAGTAATGTTGTTCAGGGAAACCCTTTACTCGCAAGTATTTACAAGTGCTATGGAGATGATATCAACATTCGGCGATTGCATGAAATTTTTTTTTCTTCTTGTGATGATAACCATTGTAAACAGTAGACATATGGAAATTAACGTGAGTAACCGTGGCTCTCCATACAGTTTCCAAATACTTTGTTTACAAAGGGTATCCCTGATTATAATGATAGCTTTTACAATATTGATTAGAAAAACCAACAGAACCATTATTGTGCTCTTGTATTATCTGTTTGACACACTACCATTAACAGGTGAGATGATATAATTATCTTCGGTTTAGCTCAGCAGTGCAAATAAAGTTTGTATACGAAGCAGAAAGGAAAGACCACAAGCAGATTGATGTCCTATAGAAATCATCTGCTAATTATATTATCTATCTATGACTGAAAGGAGTAACATCGCTGTATTTTGATATCGTTTTTATTTATCCATGTATTTATTGATTTATCAAATATTTTACCAGGATGGATACATTGAGGTTTCTCTCGTTTTCAAGCATGTCCTGGGTCTTTGTCCACAATACATTGCATTATTACAATAAGATACAATATTACAAAAATACAATATACAAACTATATATATACACACATATATAAATGTAATACATAACTGGTAATAAATATATTCAACCATGACAGGTGCATTCTGTGCTGAGGTATATAGCCATAGATCTCTTAAAAGATTTAAGATTGAATGAAGATTTGACAGTGTCCCTGAGGTTATTCCATAATTGCGGTGATTTGTAGGAAAAGGAGTATCGAGACACTTTATTTTTGTATTGCGGTATGCTAAATATCGTGCTAGTACTGGATCGGAGGTTATAGGAGGTAGGAACAGCCGGGGAGAGCATTCTGCTCAGGCAGGGTGGGAGCTTCCCAGAAAAGCCCTTATGCACAAGGCTGGAAAGATGAAGGGTGTGTCGGAATTCCAGTGACAGCTAGTTTAGCTCTTTTAACATGTCACAGTGGTGGGTTAAGTAATTACATTCTAATAAAAAGTGGCAGAATGAATTATATAATGTATTAAGTTTATTAAGGTGTGTTTGCGGTGTGGGTGCATACACTACATCCCCATAATCAATGATTGGCATCAGCATTTGTTGCACTATCTGTTTGAGTGATTTGGACGAAAGCCTCATTATTCAAAATATGTGTTTGGAATGTGTGAAAAAAATAAAGTGCAGAAATGAAAACCTCTTTATTCCGCTCAGCGACCCCATCTTTGCCCTCTGTCTGTCATGTTTCTATTTGTTCTGACCTTGTATATATTTGTAGAATGCTGTCACACCCCCTCCAAAGGTGCCTTGTTTCTAAAACAAAAAAACAAGCCCAGTTTTTGTAGTCTTTCCTCATAACTAATGTTTCCCTTTTCCATTACTGGTTTTGTAGCTCGCCTCTGCACTTTTTCTAGTTCAGCAATATCCTTCTTTATAACTGGTGCCCAAAATCGCACCACATATTCAAGGTGAGGTCTTACTAATGATTT